AGATATATATATATATATATATATATATATATTATATTTTAGTTTTTCACACAATATATTAATAAAATTTTCAAACTGTATGATCGTGGTCAACGGTTTAAAATTTGGTGAATCCTATGAGACTCAAAAGTTGTCCTGAAGTCTAAATCCTGTTACAACCTCTTGTCTAAACTGTTCAAAAGATAAATGCAAATAGCTTATCTCCCTCCTTCAAACATATATTTGTAAATTTTTTTAATGAACTTTTGATTAACATTTGCTTAATTACACTTCAATTGTCAGTAATCATACTTTATCTCTAAATTGGTCAACATACATTTTAATATATTTTCACACAAATATATAATTGTGTAGTATATCCATTTATATCTAGTTACAAATTTTAGTTTGAAAATTAATAACTTCATAAACGTATTTGCGAAGACATATAACTTAAATACATATATATATATATATATATATATATATATAATTTGAACATGTTAATGTTCAAAATGCTATATTAATTTTTATGATATTTTAGAAAGAAAACTTTACGAGATGAGATAAGCCATGCTTACCCAAAACTATTCCTTATGTCACATTAGAAAGGGAAAAATCTTTCTCATCATTTTTTCCTTCTAAAAAAAGAAAAAAAAGAAGAAGTGAAAAATAGGTATTCTTTTCCATATACATGGCATCCACATACCATGTTTACATGGATGCACATACCATGCTTACATGGATGCACATACCATGCTTACATGGATTGCGGCTTGATCAATAGGGAAAAGTCAACTTAACATGCATAAAACATCTCCACCCACACGTGACACTTTTCATTCTCCCATACTCCCATGTCATGACATGCATAATCATGCAAAACAATTTTCAAGTGGATAATGGTGTATTCAGATTCTATACCCATGTGTTTCACATCATATTTAATAGTTTTATAATTTCCCAAAATAAAAAAAAAATTATCTATCAACGATAAATGTTGGCCACTAAAAATAATAAAAATAATCCACTTGTAGTCTCTCCATAGAGTGAGGGAGTATATATACTGTCTATATATTATAAGATTTATATAGAAAAAAGACATTCTTCACAACCATAAGTTTTATTGCTGCAATATTTTAAACCTAATAATATAATGTTATTTACACAATATAATAATATACTAACTTACCAAATTTTGTATAACTAATTTAGACACTTGTATATGATATATTACCATGCAACAAACTAAAATTAGAACAAAGACACAAAAACTCGATAAAGGAAACTCATCCCATCAAGAAACCAAAAACATCTATCGAAAAAACGTTTGAGATCTTATCAATTACATTTAAAACAAATTTATAATATATGAACACAAACCTTACTTTATAAACTTAAGTTTAAAGTACAAAAATAGGAAAAAATTAGAACTAGATAAGGTGATTCTGATAAATGAACTAAGAAAGAGTATATCTGAATGTGAATATTCAACACCCATAGTGTAAGAAAACTGAAGTTTGATCAATGATTACAGAGATTTACATCACGACACACAAATCCACTCCTCGGACTTCATCATTCTCGTATCAGACCATAACTCTATACCACGAACTCATATACAATTTAGACCCAAATCCAAACGAAACCGACAATACACGTAGTGTAGATATAAATGAGAAAATGAAGAATTGAACTCTGTAAGGAGATTGAAAGTTCACATGTCTCTAACTTCGAAGTAGTTCTTGTTCTTGACGACTATGTCATACATGTGCATGGACCTGAACCTGTTGAAATCCCTTGGGAGAGAGATTAGGTGAACGGTGGAGCGTTTGTGGAACTGAAGCAAATCAGGATCATCATAGTAACGTTCCCATCCCAATGAACTCAGCTTGTGCTCCAACACTGCGTAGGAAGTGATGATTTCATTGCTTGCAGAGTGAACCAGCACCTTCCGCTCAGAGCTAGGGTTCTCCACTAGCCTCACCACACCTTTGTTGAAAACCCAAACCCCAGACATTCTTTGACTCAAACAACAACAACTTTAGCAACACCAAACGACCAACAACAGAAAAAAAATGTTTTTTTTTTCTCTTAGTGTTTAAGATGGAGTGTGCAATGAAAGATGAGGAGAGAAGTATGGGGTATTGACATATATATAGTAGTGAGATGAAGTAATGGGTAAGATGGGATTTTGCTTTTTGTTTTTTTTCTTTTTTTTAATATAATATAATGTGCACATATGCAATGAAAATTCCATGGTGGTGATAAAGACAGTATATAGAGTATATGATGTTTGGATGTGAGTACAGCTAAGGTGGGACCCATGTAGCTATAAGGTTTGTAAGTTTGGAAGAAGGGGGTGTTTGGGTGTTTATTTCATCACCCTTGGTCTTGATTGGATTGGGAGAATCTTGATTCCCTTAACCATTTGCTGAGTACAAAGTTTTGTTACCCCCACTAAGGGAATCTTTTTGTTTTTTAGAAGAGAAACTTATTCTAGAAAAAAGATCACAGTTAAAAATATAAGAACTTGGTGTGAGCACATATTCACATGAAATATAGAAAATTAAGCTCATTAGTAATTTAATGGGGCCAAATCTACCATCACAAATTTGTATCATTAAGAAAAATTATGTGTGATAGAATGTGAGAAAATGTCATTTGGAATTGAATGTGGCTATGGAATAAATTTCTTTAAGAAAGAAAGAAGGATGCTGGTAGACTCGAGTGAACATTATGCTCTTTTTTAAAAAGTTTTTCTACGGCTTGTGGGTGAGGATATGAAGAACATATGGGAGTGGGGACCAAAAATGAAGAAATTGATCTCTACTAATTTTAATCGTTAAGTGTGGAAGATAAGCATGTGCAATTGGGAGATTTTCCTAACATTTATTTTTGCAGTCTGATTTTTACTTTCTGTAAATTAATGTTTTTGTTGGCCTAACTATAGTGTTGATTGTTCAATCGTTATCCTTCAAATTGTATCATATAAATCGTGAAATAAAGAAATACATAAAAAGAAAGAAATGAAAAACGTGAGATAAAATGAAGTAAGAAAAGATATCATCAAATTATGGAAGTGTAAGAGAAAAAAATGCATAATTTATGGGGGCAAGAGGTCAATATGGATAATAACAACAAGGAATAATAAACTTTTTCTCCCCATCAAGCCAAATCCTTGTGTTGAAATGGTTTTGAAAATGACTATATATGAACAATATCCATTTCCAGCTTTCTTTCCAGGTATATATATGTTATGGATTAGGAAGTTGCTTGTTTACTAGCTATTGTAATTCATTTCATGGAAACAATGTATAATATTCTACCACAGGAATGAGAGAAGATATAAAATATATAATATATAACAACATAAATAGTTTATAAATCTATTAAAATGTATCCATGCATTACGGTATGTGTAGCATGGCAATAAATTATGTGTGGATTACAAATTATGTATATATTTTCTATTAATAAAATTGATGAGAACAAGTTGAGAGTGAATAAAGGTGAAGCTAGATTCCAACCAAATCAAAAGTTGAGCCATCAAAGTTGTAAGACTTTAGGACACACATCCTATTGAACCCAACATCTTGGTCGTGACTATGCATCAATTAACCATCTCCTCCTCGTGTCACATGGTCCAGTGACTATGATGTCTAAACTCAAAGTCTTATTAATTTGCCATATATTGTGACACAAATTTGATGGGGCTTCTCCTTTAGTCAATTTACCTTAAATTCCCTTGGTTGTCAATAGGACCACGTGCGAGTTTTCAATTTCTAATGTTCTGTCAATCAGTTGATAGTGCGTAACATTTTTCATGGAATTGAACTTATGATTTTGGTTCACATATCAATTGTTAGATTGGGTATTTATTATCATGTCAAATAATATAGTTTATTTTACCTTTGTGATAATTGATTATCGATAATAATCTTTCTCTCAATAAGTATCTCATTAATAATTATACTATTTGATTATGATTTGGTCTAACTTATATCATAAGACAAATGTGCAACCTTCAACCATGTGATCTTCTAAATTTTCAACTAATGCACCTCGTATATAGTCACCATACAATGCAACGTTTTTTATCCATTTGAAACACAAATCCGAGATTTTAAATCATGTCTTGTTTTATGATTTTGAGCAACCTAGCTTGAACATAAATAAAACCAGTGGGGGGAATGATGTAGAGAGTGAAGTGGCAGCAAAACTTGATAATTTGAAGCAGACGCAAAACTTTCCCTTTTGAGCTTTCTTGAGAAGCTAGTGTCAACATTTGGCACTATATTACTTTTAAGATTTTGCCATATTGGTTTGATGCAATAAAGTTATTAGGAGAACATATGCTTAGCCCTAAAACAGCAACCTTTGTATACATACTGCTTCTTGTATCCCATGTAACATTGAGAATCACAAAAAGGGTTGGCTCCACAGCAGATGGAAAACATCCCCCCACAACACATGTTTACAACAAACCCATGTGATTGCCCTGTAGAAAAGCCAAAATCCTACTCCTATATATCTAACAAAAACAAGATACTTCTTACGTATCGCATCCTCACATATATCCCGTAAATAAATTCGATTAATCAATGTTAACATACATATAATTCAATTTTTATGTGAACATACATATAATCAATGTTAACATACATCCATACATATATAAAAAATCAATGTCTGTTTGTGTATAAAGAAATTAATTACAATAAATAACAAAATATGATAGTCATTATAGATCTTAGCAGCAAATAGAATCAAGTTACATGTCGTGCGAAACCCCACTCTGGGGTAATTTAACTTTTCTACATTCTACTAAGACTTATAATAACTCACAAAAATACCTTACTGCTTTTATTGGTTTAATGGTGTGTCAAATATCAGAAATTTTCTAAATGGGGATGAAAGGAAGGGTGGAGAATTTTCCAAAAAAAGAATAAGATTAAAGCTAACCACAGATTGATTTGTTTGTTAATTAGGTTTAAGTTTGACTTTGATTAAAATAAAAGAAGGAATGAGGGGTTCTTGAAATATATTTATTTTGAGAATAAGTACTAAACATAATGAACCAAGGATCAATTCTCTCAGAAGGACATTATAAGGAAAGATTATCGTTTCATATTCTTCCATTTGTAATAAAGAAACTATCAAAGTAATTATATATAATTATAAGTTATATATTTTATTTGGTGATAAAAGATGAAACAACGAGGGGGAAGAAATAGTGTTTTGAACTCTCTCCACTAACACAAAACTAACATAACACTAACAATCGATGGACTATGTTGTTTTGAATTATAATTCATTTGTTTTAGTCATAACCTTCCCAAAAACACGATTTTATCAAATAGAAAATATATTTCAATTTTAATACATATATTACACTTATAATTACCCTCGGACAACCTATTCAAACACTTAATATGATTATCTTGTTTTATAACTTTTAAATAACTTCCAACAATTATACACATGTTTGTATAATCATAATCTTATTTGACCATTCATATAAAAAAATAATAATACATTTCAACATCTCTATTACAATATTCAAATTAAAGTAAGTTTTGAAATTAATTCCTCTCACTTGGAGATAGCATGCCTATTAATAAAACTTGTTTTATACTTTAAAAAAACTTAATTGTATTTTCAGAAACTTAAACTATTATACTCGTAGTTTCTCCCTCTAATAAGAAAATGTAAATAAAGAAAGAAAAGGAAATTAAGACAATATATAATAAAAAAACATAACATTTAGCCTAATAAAAAATTCTATTATCCATCACCTCCATACAAAAATGAATTTCAAACCTCAAAGTTTTGAAACAAAATTAGAGAGAATGAAACTTTTTAATGAAATATAAAGTAAATATTTATAACCTATATAGAAAACTTTCTCCTTTTATTATTTTAAAACTCATGTGTGAATAAAAACTTCAAGTTTTTTGCTAGCTAATGAAATGACAGCATCTCATAAAATGTTATTATAAAATGACGTGACTTTACATGAAAATCTCTTTATTTAGAAAAAGTTTTTTATGTCTATTATTTTTGACATTCAACGTATAATTCAAATTCGACATTTTATTGAAAAATGTCAATTTGACGTCGGATTTTAAATATGACGTAAGTTGATGTCAACTGTCGTGTGGACAGACGTCAATTCTAATGTCAGATCTCTCATAAACTGATGTCCATTTTGTTTATTGTTTTAAACTAATTTGTTTTTGCAATATTACCAAATCTGAAATATCGAAAACTATTCTAGCACATCACAAAATTATATGTACTATGAGTTTCAAGCAATGAGATTGGACACTCAATGTTGTTGTCGAGATCCGTCAACTCGCGCACAAAACTACTCCATAAACCAAAATTAATCGGTGCAAACGAAATTTAATCGGTGAAAGTAAAGTTAATTGGGACAAAATAAATTAATTGAAAGAAAACCAATCAAACATACCTTGCAACAAGAACAACGAATGCGAACAAAGCGTAAATCCAAACGAAAACACGAAAGAAAGTGAGACTCGCGTTATGAGTTTTTGAGATTTGAAAGGGCATTTGACATCAGCTACCTCCACCACCAACATCTAATTGCTAAAAAAAACCATTTTAACACCACTTTTAAAGTATTTTTGTAGTTTATTAACATCCGGGGAAGGGAATCTGACATCTAATATGTATTAGACATCGACCCCTGCTATGTTCGACGTCTAAAATCTTAAAAGAAGTGACTTTTTAGTTTTAATTGTACGATTCTAGTGAAGATTTTTACGTTTGGTCTGGATGGAGTAGATGACGGGAAAGAAAGTAATTGACATTTATAACAATTTTTTTAAAACTCTTATCAGTAATTTTTTACGTTATGAGTTGTATGCGTGACTTTATAAATAATTTTTGTACTAATATCCCAACACATTTATCAACTCAGTAAAATGAAACACATGCCAAGGTGGAAGCAAATTATTGAATGATAAAGTTAACAAACTATTGATAATTAAGTGACAAAACGAGCACTTAAATAAAAAATTATTTTAATTAATTTATTTAATTGATTAAGAATATAAAAGTTTTTTATACGATTA